TTCTCCAAAGAAGATATACAAGTGACCAATAAGCTCCTGAAAACACACTCAACATCATTAGTCATTTGTTAAATGCAATTCAAAACCACAATGAGATATCACATTGTACCCACTAGGATGGCTATAATAAAAAAGACAGACAATAACAGCATTGGTGAGGATGTGGGGAAATCAGAACCCTCATAAATTGCTGGTGAGAATGTAAAATGATGCAGCACTTTGGAAAACAGTTTGACAGTTTCTCAAAATGTTAAACATAGTATGATATCACCCAGCAATCCCACTCTTTTGTGTCTACCCAAGAGACATGAATGCATGTCCACAAAAAAAAAACTTGCACATGAATGTTCATAGCAACATTATTCATAACAGCCAGAAAGTGAAAACAACTCAAGTGTTCATCAACTGAGATTTGGATAAAGAAAATGTTGTATACTCACACAGTGGAATATTATTTGGGCATAAAAAGGAATGAAGTACTAAACTATTCTATGCCTTAGTTCATTTGCTGTTGCTTAAACAGAACACTTGAAACTGGGTAATTCATAAAGAAAAGAAATTCACTTCTTACAGTTATGAAGGCTGAGAAGTCCAAAGTCTAGGGATCACATCTGGTGAGGACCTGCTTACTGGTGGGGACTCTCTGGCAAGTCCCAAGGTGACACAGGACATTACATGGTGAGGGGGCTGAAAGTGCTAGCTCAGGTCCCTCTTCCTCTTCTTACAAAGCCACAAGTCTCTCTCTTGTGATAACCCATTAATCCATTAACCAATTAATCATTAATCCATGAGTGGATTAACCACCTCTGAAAGACCCCACCTCTCAATACTGCCATATTGGAGATTAAATTTCAACATGAGTTTTGGAGAGGACAGATATTTGAACCATATATTGTATGATTCCATTTGTAGAAAATATCCAGAAGAGGAAAATCTATAGAGACAGAAACTAGATGAGTGGTCGTCTAGGGCTGGTAGGTGGGGACAAATGAAGAATGATACCTAATAGGCACGGTGTTTTTTTGGGGAGTGACAAAAAACGTTAAAAACATAGATTACAAATTACATAATTCTGTAAATACACTAAAACCCATTGAATTGTACACTTTAAGTGGGTGAACTTTATGGTATGTAAATTATACCTTAATAATTGTTTTTAAAGAGAGGGAATGAAATGAGAGAAATCTAAGGCAACAAGTATAGACAAGTCTTCCAAGGAATTCCTTGCATTAATAAAGGTTTGGTTTTAATTACCAGCATTTAACTGCATTTGTTGTAGCAAAGGAGGAGGCTGCTCCACTTCAGGTAGAAGCTAGGGAAGTGATATTGTACTTACTTCTCTGTATCTTCAAATGGATTTTTGTCCCAGTTCTCTGATTTTATGTTCACTGTTAGTATCAACCCCAGAGCATATAACCCAAGAATCTGTGTCTCACTTAAGCTTACTGATCATTTCTGCTTCTTTTCTTTATTTTTCTGTTCACATTATCCTGATAGGATGCAGGGTGAAGAAATGATCAGCCTTTGTTCATCTTATTAGAGAAATAAATACCTGTGTGTATGAAGCAAGCAAGGCCACTGAGTCTTTGGGGAAACAGAGCAGGGAGGTGCCCAGAGGCATTTTCTGCAGAGAAGGAAGAAAAGAATAAACAAGTCTTCTGCCAAAAATGCCTGGAACTTAAAGTGATTTCCTCAGCCCAAGATCAGGCTGTGTGCAGACACTGACAGTGAACCTGATCAGTTGCTGCTGCTCCCTTGATTAAAAGCATGTGGCTTTCTCTCTTGTGAAATTCACCTCTATAAATTCCACCTGCCTAGGGATTCAAACTACAAGGAACAAGTGCAATTCCTCAGAGTGGCAACTGGCAGAGCTCCCAGGAACAAGGTAGAACTACACAATGTCCCAGGCATCAGAGGCACAGATTGCCTGAGCCAGGGACAGTGGTCTCTGTGACCTGACACCCCACCCACAGTGGGAAGGAAAGCTGTGGGTGTGTTATCGAGGAGGCCTCCACAAGGGGCTGGAAATTCCTGGTTTTGTCTTCCTCTTGGAATGAGACATTTACTCTAAAAGAATCATGGAAAAGTACAAACCACAGAATCATAAACCACACGGGGAGAGGCTACCTCGTAGGTCATTCTTACACTGGGCCCAGATACCCCAAAAGCAGATGTTCTCTTCTCGCCACCCCTCCTCGCCTTTGCTTGCCCACAGTCATTGCCAGGACTCTCCCTCAGGCCCAGAAAGGCAGCCGATTCCTGGTAGGAGGGCGCTAAGAGTAGAAAGTAACTACCATTGTCAGGTCCAGATCTGTTCCCTGTCCCTTCCCGTTGCTCCTGCACTCTAAAACCACACCACAGTTCCAACTCTTTTTCTGAGTCCAGAGTCTTTGAGAGTGCCGTCATGCCCTTCTTCCTGTAGCCTTCTTGTCTACCCCAGATGTATCCCTTTAATTTCACTGACCTTCCCACCCATATCCATGAGGCCAGAAGGCAACAAAAAGACAAGCGTGGACTCTGGCTCCCGCCGAGGTACTCTGTCTCCCGTGGCTCTCGGATTTTGCATCTACCACATGCCACAGGCCTGCGTCCATCCGACCTCCCTAGTTTCTCATCCCCGCTTGAACCTGATGACTGACTCGCCCTCCTGGCCACGCTGAGTAACCCGCCCAGTTGCCAAACCTCAGACCTGGTGTTGACGCAGTAAGAAGGCCTGAGGCCCATGTTGCCAGAACATTCCTAATTGTTTCACTGTTTCCTTGTAGGATTTGGTTTCAAGTCCCATCTTTATCCTTGTCTCCTTTCTCCTGGCCAGGGTGCCCTTGGTCAATATTCCTTCATTCGCTCCAGCCACTCAGCACCGTGATTAACAAAACAGGATGTGAGATTAGATGATCCAGACTCTGCCACGAACTAACTAGCTGTGAGGCTTCAGAAAAGTGTCTTAACCTCTCTGAGCATCCATTTCCTCCTCTATAGCATTAAGACTGTTAATAGTACGTACCTCACAGCTTTTTTGTTGTGATAACCAATAAATGAAATAATCTTCATAAAGCACAGAGGCTTGAATGTTCACTCTAAGTATTTAATATGTGTCCTCTACTATTTTATTTTGCAATTATCATTCCTTAATTCATCATATATTTACCAAGCCTCAGGCCAGGCACTGAGATATAAATATCCCCTTTAAAGAGCAGTCATGTCTTAAATCCAAGAAGAGCTAGTTCATGTTGGCACCTAGGGCAGGGAGCTAAGCCCAGGGCCACAGTACAGAGGCAGAGGAGAATAGACGCTGACCACCAGCAGCTGCCCGGGGATGGTGACAAAAGTGCCTTCCACCTTTCCGCATCTCTTTCAATACCACTGCAACTCCTTGAGTAGGTGGGCACCACACAGAAGGGGGATGGCAGAGGGGCAGTGAGAGGTCCCCAGGGAAACAGCCTCTTCTTCTTCCCTGCTTCTCTGACAGAGCACGGCCATGCCTCTGCCATGCAGGAGGGTGATGTCCTTTGGGGAGGCCTTGTTGAATCTGTCTGGGGCTGTTCCGGAAGTAGGAAGGGCGGCTGGGGGTGGGGAGACAGCAGGAATGTTCTCCTGGCCTGCTGGTCTGTGCCGGCGAGTGTGCTGAGAGGAGGGCCTCTGGACATCAAAGGTTCCTTTTGTCCCCTTCCGAGTGGCAGGGCAGCCCAGCCGGGCTGCTGGCGATGACTCAGGCCTGGCCCTGACGTCACCCACGCCCGGCCACTGGCCTCCCTCTGAAGCCAGGAAACTAGCTGGGGAGTGGCACTCGCAGCTGCAGCAAATCTCAAAATAAAGAGGCAACGGCCTTTCTCCTCCTCTCCATCTCCCTACAGCACACCTTTTATTTCTTTTCTTCTTTTTTTTTAAGCCTCACGAAAGATTTTACTTGTAGATCAACTTTCAAAATGTAGGAAGTCAGAATGGGTGACATCATCAGAAAAATATGTGGAGCTGATCGCCACAAGAAGTGAAGAACCCAGGGCACGAAAGCAGTTGTGACTCCTGGGCCCAGGGAGTTGGCAGCGTCTGGGCTTCAGAGGAGCCAGCGCCTCCGAGTAAGTGAAGGCCCACTTTTGGCACCCCCTTACTCAGCGCCCTTCACCGTAGGGCGCCATCTTGTTCCCTGACGCCTACAGCTTGCCAAGCCCCAGCCCAGAGTTGGGAGTAGGGACTGCATTTGGGAGACCCTCTAAATACGGCCCCAAAGGGATCTGATATCTCTCTTCTCCACAGGATCAGAAAAGAATGCAAAAAAAAAAAAAAAAACAATACTAAGACGGAAACCCAGGGGAGAATGGCCCAACTGATGCCTTTCCCTGTCAACCCTCTTGTTTTGCCTCCTCTTCCTCCCCTCACCTGAGTACTCTGTTTCAGACGGTCAGAATGTTTGTTCAGAGTTCTGGATTGTTTGCTTCCTAGATCTTATACTGAGCGATCAGACATAAAAATAAACCCTGTTCGAGGCAAATACGTGTCCTGTGCCATCAAACGGTATTTTCACACTTAACCTGGTAAAAGATGACAGCCCTGGTAAAAAGATGCACACAACTGTGCTGCCTTTACTGCGCACGTTTCTGATTGTTCTGTGTATGAACCTACATTATCTTATTGCCCTGTTTACAGAGGACTTATTTTCATTCCTACTTGTGCCATGGTATCTCAGATGACATTAAACACAAAGACACAATGTGTCTGTTTTAACTTTGACTACAAACTCATAGTTCTTCACAAAGCCTGTAATTTCACAGCCTCTGGAAGTTCCTACCCAAGAAAGTTAAGTTCCCAAGAGAAAAGTTTTGACATGTACATGAGAACGGCACACAGGCATAGAAATCATACCCTGATTTTCCTGGCTTCTAAAGTCATCCCCTGAGTCAGCATCTAGTCTTCGTACAGCTGACGTATCGGAGGAGATATGTTCTTCAGAAATTCTATGTTAAAATTATTGGGAGCGGGGAGGCGTAAGTCTCATTTTAAAGGCAGTAAGGAAGCTTGTCATTTACTGGAAAACAGTGGCATATTCCTTTGTAAACGGACAACTCCCTTTGGAAATTAACTATCACACACTAAAATATCTGTTTTACAGGCCTTATGTTTTACTTTTTGTTTTACTTTAATATATTAGGTGGTCTTGAAGTGAGGCTCTGCTCTACTCCTGTTCTTGTGGCTCTGAGATCTGAATGTTGTGACCACTAATTTGGTAAGTGTCATTTGTCCCCAACAGCTACTTAAATTTAAGTCTCCCAATTCTCCTTTTTCAGTTGACGGTAAGATTTAAAGAAAGGGGGAAAGGGCACAGAGATTTCTGTACACAATGATAACAGCTGTATCAAAAACAATATTAGGATAGGCTAATTGTTATAATAGAACCCCAAATCTATAGTGGCTCAAACACAATAGTTTATTTCTTGCTTATGTAACAGTACAGGTCAGTGGGGCAACTGTTTTTCATGCATTCATTCAGAGACACAGGTAGAAAGGGGCTTTGCCTTCTGCAGCATGTGGTTTTCAAGGTCGCCTGGGGGTGTCTCCACTCCTCAGTGGAGTAAGAAAAGAGCATGAAAAGGTGCACATGGGAGTTTTTTTATGGGCCCTGCCTAGAAGTGGTGCGTGTTACTTCTACTCACATTCCATTGGCTAAAACTCCATCACATGACCACAACTAACCACAGAGGAGTCTGGGAAATGTAGTCCCTGATGGGGCAGCCACTTAGCAGTGACAGCTCTGGAGGGTTTCTGAAGAAGAAGTAGTTCTCTCTGGCACAGCACATAAAAGAAACTTGGAGACTCTCAAGGATAAAGTTGCATAGAAACAGTGGGATAAGTAAAAAAATTATCCACATTTAGATTTTCCTGACTGACACTCTTAGGTAACATCTGGCCATGAGGGCAAGATGCAATGGATGAGATTTCTCAACACCTCTGTCCATTATGACCCTGAGTGAGCACCATCATGTTGCCCATGGCCAGTGAACCACGAAGGACATTTTCCTTATTTCCTTCTCCTTATTTTTCCCCTCAGTATCCTCTTGGTCTAGGACTATACCGGCTTTGTCTCCTTCCTGGATCTAGTCATATTAGTTGGAATTGTGACAGAATTCTGCTCCCCCAACTAGGAGCCCCAGTAGTCTGTAGGAAAGCTCTTGACTTCCTTAGCTTGTAGTTTTCTCTGCTTCTGGAGGCTTTGGAAATGTATCCTACCTAATCTGCTCCAGGTCTTGAGATACTTGATCGGGGAAAAATTCCCTAAGGTGAGACCTTTAAACCAAATTATTAGAGAAACTGTTTTTTTCTTTTCTTTTCTTTTCTTTTTTTTTTTTTTAGACAGAGTCTCACTCTATTGCCAGGCTGGAGTACATCAGCACGATCTCAGTTCACTGCAACCTCTGCCTCCCAGGTTCAAGTGATTTTACTGCCTCAGCCACCCAAGTAGCTGGGACTACAGGCGTGCACCACCACACCCAGCTAATTTTGGTATTTTATAGTAGAGTTGGGGTTTCACCATGTTGGCCAGGATGGTCTCGATCTCTTGACCTCGTGATCTGCCGGCCTTGGTCTCCCAAAGTGCCGAGATTACAGACATGAGCCACCGCGCCCAGCCAAGAAACTTTTTTTTTTCTTTGAGACAGGGTTTCACTCTGTCACCCAGGCTGGAGTGCAGTGGCGCAATCATGGCTCACTGCAGCCTCAACTTCTCAGGTTCAAGCGATCCTCCCAAGTAGCTGAGACTACAGGAATGCGTCACCATGCCTGGCTAATTTTTGTATTTTTTGTAGAAACAAGGTTTCCCCATGTTGCCCAGGCTGGTCTTGAACTCCTGGGCTCAAGCAATCCACCCACCTTGGCCTCCCAAAGTGCTAGGATAACAGGTGTGAGCCACCGGGCCCAGCCGAGAAACATTTAAAAGTAGACTAAAAAGTCTCAGGCTGGGGCTATTAATGCTGCCCCAAAGGATGTGATATATATGTCTAGCTTTTCATTTTCAGGAAAAGTTTCAAAACATTTACTGAAATAACAAGTGGTAAAGTTGTAAGCTCTATTTGGAGAACTTTTAATAAGTTTAACATTTTATGTAACCTTCTAACCATTGTTGATGTTGGCGAAGTATTCCCCTCAACTATCCCCTCATTGGTGAATAGAAAGCATATGATGGGTGCCTTGTGACGCCCCAAACTTAAAGGTGTGAGATAAAAATGAACTCAAGTCTGAGGTGCCTGGTACCTAGTTCTCTAGTTTTGTCAATATCTGACTAAACATTCTGGTTTCTGATTGACTTTTGCCCCTGGACTTGACCTTTCTGGCACCCACATCCACACCCTGAAGAGCACATATTGTCTATTGTGTGGGGATGCCTGTTACTGGCCAATTTGCCACAGCTTCTCAGGTATCTGACAGAGGCTGATGCCTGGCCTACTCTCCTGTTACGGCTGCCTAACCTCTGCCCAGTCCCCTCACGTCAGGATGGAGCTGAGG